GACTCTATTATGATACTTAATAGAAACTCAATACCACAATAGAGTATAAAAAGCTTACCACCAATGACTCTAGAGTAGAGATCACAAATTAAAAAAAAATAATTTGTCTCTTGATATATTGCCTACTTTTCCTAAAATCAGCAATTTTTCTTATCCCCTCCTAATTCATTTCGTAATATATTCCGAAGAAATGCAAACATTCAATTTCGGAAAATGATTTCGTTGAGTTCGTTCGTTCGCAGTTATCTGTTAACATCAGCGCCTTTAAATCAATTTGTGCCGGCAAACAGAGATTGGGGAGGGCAAACACCAAGGCGGGAGCTCTCAGACTCTCAACCTTAGTCAAATATAAATCCTCCTCCTCCCCCCCCCCTTCCGTATTGAATTTTTTTCTTCCCATCGGCTCTCTGGGGCTCCATCAGGAACACTTTCTCGAATCCGTGCATCAATACTCACTCCCATCTCCCTTTCAATAGCTTAGAAAATAAAGTCAAGCCGGAAAGCACAGACGGAGCTTTGATTACGTAGTGGTAGATGAATAATTTTATTATTAAATTATTGAATGTAGGATATGAAATGGCTATAGGCCGTGGTACAGACCCCTTTTTATCAAATTATTAACTTATATAGTCAAATTTATCAGAGTAAAGTCTTTCAATTATATTTTATCAATTAGGAAGTCCTATGAAAGACTATTGTTTCACTAAGGATTCCTCATTTACTTTCGGAGATAAGTTTTAAATTTTGATTCAATCAACTATTGCAGATTGTATTCTGTTCTATCCTCACATAATTCACCCTGTTATCCCAAGCCTCTGAATTTCCTGTTTTATTTGTACCGTATATCCATGGTTAAACTTGTATCTCATAACCCTACTGAAAATCTTCTTGTTATCCTCTCCTCGGTCATCCTTTGCATGTGTCCATAAACTTAAGTCTTCTTACCAGTCATTTCAGTTTCCAAATCACAGATTTCACTGTAAATCTCCTTATCGGATTTCAGTCTGCATCCTTGTGGTGTTATTTTTGGCCCATGGGTAATATATATATATATATAATATATATATATATATATATATATATATATATATATATTATATATATATATATATATATATAATATATATATATATATAATATTGATAATAATTATTTTAAAATTATAATTCATTTATGAATATAATATCATTACTATTGTTTTGATTAATATCTTTCTTTGCTAATAAAAAAAATGAATGAAATTGTTGGTAACACTGCATTTAAGTTATTTTATTACTAATTATAACCGAGATCGCTTCTAATTAATTTCAAAATGTGTTAATTTATTATAAGAAAATCATATAAAATTAATTACATTCATTGCATACAGTATTTTCACCTTTTATTTAGAAATATATTTCATTAGTTTTCGAAATAATAAAGATGTTTATTTTATTTTTTTTCTTGGAAGAACGCCATACAAATAGAGTCTATCTTTGTATAGCAAACATTATTACTCTTATGGTATTACAAATTTTATTTATATACTACATTACAAATGAAAGACGTTCATAACTAACCATATTTATATTATTGATATCCTTTACATTTTCTTTTTAAATATATAAATAATAACCTACCTGCAATTAACAATGAATAAAAATACGGTGCCCATTACCCAAGACATAACTACTATGTGCCCGCTGCTCAAAAAAAGTTGAGAACTCATGATCTTAAGTTTACCATTTCTTAGTTCAAAGCTTTCTAGATTTTTTTAAAAATAATATAAAAACAGTTAGCATTGAACCTGGATGTCTATTACTGGTATATACAATATATGCTGTGAGCATTTTCTAAGTTTCTTTTAGCAATAATTGATTAATTTTCAGTATTAAAAAAATATTCAATAAACGAATAAATTTGCTGTAAATTAAAACAATTTTCAAAGACTCACCTTCAGAACCAAATCTGTGTTGAATGTCCATATTAATATTGAAAATTTCTCATAAAGGTTCTATCGCCGATACATTTATTTTAAATGGCGAGTACTTAAAACAGGTGTACTCAAAATACAGGTGGCTCATTATATTGGCTCTTCAATTTCATTTTCATATTGCTGGAATAATTGCAGAGGTAAAATTTTAGTATTAACAATAATGAAGCAGTTAATAACCATCCTTTTCTTATGCCTTATTTTTATACATTCGTTATGCCTGTTCCTTACACATATCGTTCAAGGAAATGAGGACTCGACATTAATTAAAGTCGAGTATATTAATTTTACTTATTAATTTAAAATAAAATTATGTTTTTATTATAAACATTCCATCCTTTATAAAACACATTACCAAAGTGTTAGTATTGTGCTAAGTTAATTTAAATGAATTCCAAACTCTCAACCACTGGGTTTCATTTGGCTACTAGCCAAATTCTATAACCCACTGATCTTGAAGTAATGGAGTGAAAATTGATTTATATTCTGATAAAAAATATATCCAAGCATTTAGAGCTTTGGAAAAGAAAACATATAAATAAAAACTTGATTTAATTCCCTTTCATAGGATTCCTGCGTTTTCTAAGGATATATATTTCAATTTCGACCCACTGTCCGCTAGGAAATTCTACAACTGGCCACTTCGCTTAATTCAATAAAATGACTGTTAAATACTTTTCAATTTTTGCAAATAAAATGTATACAATTGGCAAGCTGCTGGTATATCAAGTTAATTACAAATAATCTATGAACTCTATTATAAGTGTCCTTAAATGAGACAGAGTGTAATATTTCGAAATAAAATGTTTTAAAAAAATTATAAATAAAAAATAAATTAACTTAAAACGCGGATTTATTAGAATTTTAAAAATCTTTATCGTGGGACAAAATTTCATATTTGTTAAATGCATTTTTTTTTAACAATAACTTTATTTAAGGATATTTATAATAGTGTTCAAAAAGCAAATTCACTCTATATACATATTTTTTTTTCTCTTTAAATATTTGTCCGCGGCTGTCATGATATTGACAATCAGCATATGTGTTGTGATGATGAATATTGGCATTATAGGCCTGAGGAAGTATAGTACCCAGCAGCACTTCTTTATGGTCATTATTTACTTTATTGATTTAGGTGAGGAGATCTTTCATCCAGCTTCTTTTTAGTCTCCTCCTGATGGGCATGTCAGTCGTAGCCATATCGCTTATATGTCTGTTTGTATGAGATGAAAACGACAGTAGAGATTACGTATGTGATGGTCTATAGTTGGTTGTCGTAAATCGTTATGTAAAGTTTTGTTGTTGACGTACCAGGGAGCTCCTGTTATAAGCCGTAAAATTTTTGATTGAAATGACTGTAGTTTTTGTAAGTGCGTCTATTTTGTCTAACTGTAAATCTGAGAGGTGTGTCCAGATGGGTTTGAGTAGGTAAGTGTATGTTTTCAATTTTTGTCGAACTTTCAATTTCTTGATTACATAATTAAAAAGAAAAATAATAATAATAAAAGTAAATGTATACATACAAAAGAAACTAAAATAATCAAAATAACAATTTAAATACAATTATACTTTTATACAACATTACATAGTTAAGCCTTTCTCCACACTCATGGATGGAAAGGCAGGACAGTTCTAGCAGCTCCCAGTGCCTCTCACTCAGTCGCATTACTGTTATATAGGACCATTGGAGGCTCAGCAGACACTTTAATAAAATGCAAATAGAAAAAAAAAACTTTTTCGATGCTACAGATATTTTAAAGTGAAGTAAATGTAAAAAAAAAAAAAAAATCAGGTCAAATTTCAGTTGCTCAAGTTTGACGAAGTTAAGGATAAATTGATTAGAAGCGAACGCTCGAACCAGAAGATTGTTGTGGATGTTTGGAAATCTTGACGAAGCTCACTCATGGGTTATTCATGATATTTTCATCCCTTGGGTGCTCGCTGAGTCTAAGAGCAAGTTATGAGATATTGCTCTCTATTTTTATTAACTTATGAACAACCTACATCCTTCCAAGGGACTTAACGTTGATAAATAAATCGAACATAAATTGATTTTGTGAAAATGAAGATCATATTGAATTTATCAACCAGTTTAATTTTAGGCTGATATGAAATTGGTTATTGTTAGTCCAATTTAGAAGATTAAATTCTTTTCTGTATTAAAGGTGATGTAGGAATCCAGTCATTATTCCGATCTTTTAAATATAAAAAGGCTAAAATTCAAATTAGAATAAATTTTACGATATAATTGCATGAATCTAAATTCAAAACTTTCTAATCTGAACTCTAAAATTTAGATAAACACATTAAATCTTCAAAATTTCGCCTTATCAAGCATAAACAGAACGGAAGTAAATAAAATCACATCATGCTATATCATATTCTAAAGAAGATTCATCAACTAGAGGCATTAAAGAACACACACACACACACACACACACACTGTGTTGCTATTGAATTTAAATTTCATCTTGAGTTGAGATTTAGCGAAAATGGCACATCCATGTTGCAAACAATACATTTCGAAATCTTAACTCCGTCATGTAACTCAGTTCCTTAATTGCGCTATCTTATAAAAAATCACATGACTAGGAAATTAATAGACATTCAAATCCAACTGAGGTGAATAACCATGGTCCTAAGAGCTCCATGGTTCGAATCCAGCAGTGTCTGGTAGTTAATTATTTTGTTACATCATCCGCAGATCGACCAGTAGACTCTCCTAGGGCACAGCCAGCTTCTAATTAATAATTATGGAAGATAAAAACCTGGCCTGAGCTTGTTCAAACCACCTAACCTAGAAACAGTACTTCCATCAACCAATACCATCAACGACCTTGTAATGTTTTTTTTGTTTTTTTTTTACAAAACATACCATCTTGAACTGTCATTTAAAATATCACAGTAGTGAATAATAAAAAAAACTATTAGTTATCTTTTTGATATTTATGTCATCAGAATCTGTTACTGGGTCAAAACGTTCCACCACCAAGTTTTTCTAGAAACTCAAGGAAGAGACTCTATGAATATGGTATGACCCGGGAGTATTAGCTCTAGAGTCAATCTACGGTTAATATTAATGAGAATAAAATTTTCTGCCAAAGTCAGGCTTCAATCTAATCACTCTTTGAGCTGCTAACATTGAATACTCAATGTTACCCTAATGCTACTCAATTGACCCTAAATTATACTCAATGCTACACCATTTACTTCATGTCTTTTCGTGTTCCAGATCGGAGTGTGGAAGTCTTGGGAGAAGGAAGGGCTTGACATCAAGGACATCGTGTGGCCGGGAAATTCACACACTCCACCCCAGGGAGTCCCTGAGAAGTTCCATCTCAAGATAACATTCCTCGAGGAGCCCCCTTACATCTCATTGGCTCCACCCGATCCCGTCACTGGCAAGTGCAACATGAACAGGGGAGTCATCTGCAGAGTGGCCCGAGAAGTTGACATAGCAGAGTAAGTAGACATACAACAAACTTATTATATTATTAAGGTATTTGCCTCTTATGGAAATGCGTTCCATTTCGCTCTCTATAACATAGCTAACTGTCTTAATATTCAAGCAAATATTTGAAAATTCAATTTTTAAAACTATAATGTATTATACATTATCATCTTACAATGTGAGATTTTCAACTAATATTCATTGTAGAATCCTGAGAGTGATTAGAGCCAAATATAAGTAATAATATTATGTGTTAGGTGGAGAAAGCTAAATACATCACAGTAGCAGGTATGCATCAATACTGTATAAAAATTGACCAATATGTAATTTGGTCTTATCTAATTCATATTACATTACAATAATTAACAATTGATGACTGGACACTAACAACGGCATAAGTACCGAATTAAAAAAATGAGTTTTTCTATTTTATGCAAGCAAAATTGCTAGCCTAAGATTTCCTTACACAATATTTTGTTTTGCCACTTAGTCCATTTTTTGTGTCCATTCTTCGATTATGGATCTGATGTAGATAATATATATATATATATATATATATATATATTTTTTTTTTTTTCGTTTCAGCGTTGGTGATATGTTCACTTATAAGAAGTAAATATAATTGTTGTTATTGGTTACAACGAAAAATCTAAATTACATGTACCTAATCATAAATCATGTGCCATAATATTATTAAATTTTAAGTTCTGTATCAATAAATTTTCTAATACCTTAATTCATTATTTTTTTTAAATTCATCGGGCTTTATAGCTTCTTATTATAACATCTAATTTGTAACGACTTATGTTTTTTTTATAACAGGAGAAGCTCTTGGCCGATTATATTTCAATATCACTAATAATAATACGATATAAATTATAAATAAAATTAGTAACATTTCTAACGAATATAATAAATGTCCATGTATTCATGATGAAACAAAAATCAAAAACATATAGATAAATATAAACTTTGCCATATTATTTTTTTTAAGTTACGCTCTAATGGTGATTTGTTAATTATAATAAAAAAATTATTAACATTACAATACGAATAGTTCTAGTTAATCTGTGAATTTAGAAGGGATGAAAGGCCAATAGGTTTAATGGCGGAGCAGCAATGGAAAGCATGCCGTCTAGTCTCTAGAGGGTCTTTAACATTGGACTGGCATAATTAACACTTCCGAGGTTAATTAAGTAGAACCAGGAACCTTTTCATTAAAGGTAATTACCCTTGGAAGTAGTCTCGACGAAATTGAGAAGTTGTCTTCTGAAATTAGCACCGAAAAGGGCTTAATGTCACATGTGAAGTTCCTGCTGCTCACAAAGCACACTGAGAAGGAGACTTCCTAAAGATAATTGTGTGCTATTTTAAGTAACAACATGTAGATGTATACCGCCAATCGTCAAACTACTACGGATGTTTATAAACAATTAAGGTACATCTTAAAAGAGAAAAAATGGCTACTATTGATTGAAATTTTTTCAATATTATTGAAATATATCTTATTTCATTTTGATTTTTTTTTTCGGCTTTAAATATTTATTTTCACCTATCAAATTTTGTGAACAATCTAAAAATGTGCTGAAATACGAGAAATAATAACGTCTCAGGCATCAGAAGGACTCTGCAGCAACTCTTCCCTGACTTGATTCAATTATTTAGGTCGTCTAAGAAAGTCTCATCCAATGCCTTTATAGTATCCTTCTCGTTGTTAGGGGCATGTTAGCCATTGCCATGCCTCTTATTGGTATCTTTTAATGTCCGTTAAATTTGTATAAACTGGTTGGTAGTGAATCGTTATCGTAATGGTCGACTGTTGGAAGGTGGAGGTCAGTATGTAGAGTTCATCTTGAATTAGAATACATTTATTTATTTAGTTACTTTTTTTTTGTTGTTGTCAAATTCTTTTAACAGCCTCTTTGTTATCTTCTAAGTTTTCTGGTAGGTTTGGTGCTATATCCAAATTTTGTCTGATATTTTTCAGTGTAGGCCAGTCTTGAATAATGTTTTTTACTGTCCTTTGGACATTGCAGCTTTTAAAGGTCGGAGGTTCAAGTCCTTTTAGTAGGCAGGCGTGGGAGAACATACAATATCCAATTCGTATTCTGCAGAGGGCTGTCTGTTCTTTTCTAGAGGACCGACAAGAGGTTTTCCATTTTGCTCAGTGGGTTTTTATTTCTCACAATGGAGAGTCCATTTCCTTCCACTTATTTTCCACACATCGATCTTAATCTTTTTCTTGTAGTCCTCTAAGCGGAATTTATTGTTAGGTTCCACCAAAGTTGTGCTTGCATTTCTTGCAATGTTGGCTGCTAGGTAAGCTTGCTCGTTTCCAGTCACCCCTCAATGCGAAGGGACTTATATGAATCTTATTTATTTCCCCTTCTGCATAAGCAGCCACCAAATTTTTCTTACTTCTTTCGCTTGAGTATTTTTTGACCTGGTATTTTCAATGGCTTGTAATGACCTCATCGAATCCGTTATCAGAGCCCAATTGATAGTTTCGGTTGTCTCTAGATATCTAAGAGCTTCTCTTATCGCAACCATTTCACCATTAAACAAGCCTCCGAGAGTTTAAATAGTATTTGAGTATTAGAATTTATTACCGAGCACCCTACTTCCTTATCTACTTTTGTGGCATCCGTATACAAAATGTTACACATGGTATTTTCCCAAGTTTTGAAAAGAAAAGGTTATGAACGTGAGTCCCCTTTTTCAATAAAAGTTCTTTTTAGTGATACTAAATGGAAAAATATTATACCCATGTTCAATGGTTCTTGCCAATTCCTCCTAGAAGCCGAGAAAAAAATAGTTTATTAAATTTTTTTGCACCTCGAAAAGCCCTTCAATATGAATTTTCATGCCAATTGACTTTATAAGTATAAACCCTTATTTAATTAATTAGATATAACTAAATATAATACAATGAAAAACAATATTACATAAAAAATATTTAAAAACTAAAATAATAAAACTAATTGTGAGTCCTTAAAAAAATAGTACAGTAAAAGTAATTAATTTAACAATTTTGGAGGAAACCGACAATACACTGTCTTTTTCGATTTACGAATATGGTGCTTTTAGTAATGTTGAATCTTTTTGTATCTATTTTTCTTTAGGTTGACATTTGTTTTCCTTTTGAAGTGAGTTTTCTTTCTTTTTTGAACAACTCGGATTTTTTCATGTTTATGTATATAATAATAGTAGCCAGTGGTACTCTACGCAACAGAAACTTCTTGTCTTCCCAGCCTAGAAAGCCTTCTGAAAATAGAAAGAAGAATCTACGGGCCTAGGAGAACAGCTGAAGGATACAGGTTGAGGTCAAATGAATAAATATGTAAGGAAACTGACGCTAGAGTGGGAAGGCTGAGGTTCTATTTCCATATGATAAGAATGAATCCTGAATGACTTAACCATAAAATCTTTCAGCGCTGTGGGTGCATAAAATCTTTCATAAGAATTTAAGCGGGTATTTTAAACAGATTAAGGATGATATGGACCAAGTGGGGCTAAAAGACCAAGATTGTTTAGACAGAGATGAGTACACGAAGGCGCTCAAGATAATAATGGTTCTTGCGGGAAAGAAGCGCTACAAAAAGGGTGTTGCGTGATCTGAGGAGAGAAAACCTAAGCACGCGGAGCTCATGAGGGGCATATGGAGAAGAGGAGGCAGATGAAGAGGAAGCGTTAACTTCGTGAAATTCGAGTGGTCTTTAAGGTCTGTTCGTGAAAAAAAATTAAAAAAATAGTTGACATTGCAAAAAAATCCCTCCAAAATTTTAGTTAGTGTAGTTAATATTAGGTTACCTGTAAAGCTGTAGAGAATGTTTGAACACCTTCTAGTGTCCTCTATTCGGTTAAATAATTGGCTGGAACTGTCAGAAGCAGTTCGGCCTCCTCCGGCATCCAGAGCGGAGTGCCAAGGAGCCCGACACTTCCAGCTGAATAAGATTTTCGTTTTACCATTAAGCCGAATTAGCAATGACAAAAGGGAGCCTACAATGGCCGCTGAAATATAAAGGGGCTGCCAGCTGAGGTGAGCAAGGGATTAATTGTGGCCGTGTCGCTTATAAATAATTAAACATGGCCTTTGTGTTAAATATAGTCCCTAATCTTAGCCCTCCCCTGCCTAACTCGTTTAAGGCTAAGTCCATTAGCTCTATCCAAAGGTCACAACTCTGTCTTCAAAAATAAAAAAAAAAATTAAAAAAAATTGAATAGTTAAAAGTATACACTAAAATTCTTCTAGATATTACCAAAGTACTGTATTTTTCCAGATATTTATACATAAAAAATTCGAATTACTCACAGTTCATACAACAAAACATACCAAAAGAAAAAATTTACTGATTTTTTTTTAAATTGACGGAAACAAATTCATCATTTAATGATGATATCGGCTATTGGGTGACTCGTAATAAACAAATAATGTAAATAAGCTATCAAAATAAGGAATTGATTAGGAGTAGTCAATCAACTCAGATAAAATTATAACATGAGCCAATTCGTGCCTGTATTTCAACTCGGTGTAATTGTATTCATGGTATATATCTACAGCGCTTTATTATATTCTGATTGTAGCCTAAATTGTAGAAAGCTTTAGAACATATTAAAAATGTTTTTTTTTTCACAAACACGCGCGCGCACACACACATAAATATATGTATATATGTATGTATAGATATATATATATTTTTCCCTGTTTTTCCGGTGCGACAGACATAGATATTTGACCGCTAGATGAGGTCTCCTAGACCACATCCGGATTCCTGATTTCAAGGTTCACGGAGGTAGGGTCCTACGCCCGGTCAGTGTGAGTTGCCTCCAGTAACCTGACGGGCTCACATACTCGCAGGGGGAGGGATCTAGGGCAGCGTGGCTTTCCCTTATGGACGGCCATCCGAATCAGGTGGTTATCCATTCAATTGCTAATCACGCTCGGCGTTGCTTAACTTAGTTATCTATGGCAAGCGCCTTAGGCCACACGACTACCTCAGCCCCCATATATATGTATATATATATATATATATATATATATATATAATTTTTTTTTTTTAGTTATGAATAATTTTCTGCACGTTTAGTAGCGCTTCTGTTGCCAGAATGCATGGTTACAATACATATATTGAAGATTAATCATTTTTATAAATTTTATGTAAATGACAAAAATTATAAATTATCTTGAATTTATATTTTCTAACGGTTTTGGGATGTCTGCTATCTTTAAGCTGTTAAAAATTGGGTTGGATTTTAACTTTGGGAACGTGTCATGATTATATAATTTATTTATGTCGCTTGAAAATTGTTTATAAATTTCATTTTTTTTTTTTTTTTTTTGAGCTGCTTGTTAAAAGTTTCAAACTACAGTGATTTAAAATCTAATAAAGCTAAGACCTTGTTCGGGTGAGCAACATCATCCCTTCCACCGGATTATATTAAAAATACCAAAATAGGTTTTAATGCGATGAGTGGCGGGAACTTGTCCTTAACATCTCCACACTACTTCGCTTTAACATTTTCGAGGCTTGCAACGTCGGTTTTAATCCGAACAAGATGGGCTAAAATTTATTTCGTGGCGAATCACGGAATGAAGCTCGACACTTCCATTCCAGTAAAAATAGGATAATACCTCAAGAACAACCACACCACTGTGCTACAGCCGAGACTTAAGATGTAATAAAAAAATACCTTTTGATAAACTTTTAAAAAAATATTCATATCAATTGGATCGTGGAAAGAACATCCAATCGATTGTGAGAATGTAAAACTGATGAGCGAAAAGATGAGCTGTATATTTTTTAAACTCTAACTAACAATATAAATAAACTCTGATATAACTATTAATACGTGTTTGGTAAATACAGTGAAGTTAAAATTTAAAAAGTTAAAAAAGAGAAGCTGGATGAGAGGTTTCCTTTCTTTAATTAAGGAAATAAATCAAGACCAGGAAGAAGTGCTACTGGGTACTATTTTTTTTTTCCTCATGTCTAAAATGTAAATTTTTCGTATTAATTACAGCACATCTGCTTATTGTCAAGATCATGACAGATGTGAATAGAAATATGAAGACAAAAAAATATTTACAATATTGGTTATATCTTAATTGGAAGATTGTAATAATTGTTTCGAAAATGCTGATATAATTTACTGTTTCGTCTATTTTTCACAATCGAT